TGCATAAATGTATGAGAAGTTGGGCACTATGGTAGATTGTAATTCCATATTAGTTACGTGTATTTTAAATATCACACAGTGATGTAGTATTAACAAGTGTGAATAACGTTTTGAGCATAAATTATTGCTCATAATCATAACAATTTAGTCACACATTTTAATAATTTGTCTTATATTTTCTCTCTTTCTGTCTCTCCAACTTCACTTTTGATATTTGCTGCCACTTTCCATAACTACGGTATAGGTGTGTTATTTCGACTGCACGTGTGCGGTGTTGACTCTTTTTTGATTGGATACTAGTCAATAGCTAGTGTAATATGTCTTGTCCTATCTTTGGTTCAGAGTGGATTCTATCAGTCAAGTTTGCAATGTAGCCACCATGCTATATGGCTCGCCATCACAGTGCACTGTGAATTGTTGGTTTTAGATAGAGAGATAGACTAGATAGGAAGGACTAGACACATTATCCTAGTTAACAACTAGTGTCCAATCAAAAATATCCAATACACTCCTACAGGAGGGCAATTGCGAGCTCGAATAGCTCAGCGGGTAACGCGAGTTCGAATCTTAGAAGGGACATGAGGTCCTTCAAGGTTGTAGGTTGCCTTACCGACGAGTGCCAACTAGCACGAAACCTAGGTCCAAGGTTTCCTGTCGAATACCTCCAAGCATCTAATACCAGCGGAATTAAATCGGTAAACAAAGCTTCATTGATTAACCTCTCTCTTCACCTAACTGCATTACTTTTTAATACTCTCACTCTGTCCCACGCAACCTATCGTGTGATTACATGCAAGTGAATGCAATAGCTGAGCTTTTTTCTAGGTTATTTGACTTAGCAGGGTCAGTTATTCTAGGTCTGTCTAAATTTTTGAGTTCGAATAATCTAGTTGACTGAGATATACTAATTTGATCTATGTAATTGACCTCAGAGTCATTACATGGTATTTGATAAATCATATTATTTATCTTAATTGGATCTCTTGAGTCCTTAAGAAAACAAAGTTTATCTCTGAGAGAGTTCTTTGGTTTAAATGCCACCCTGACTAATTCCAGCCCCATTCAGAATCATACATAAGGCCTCTGACGTCCCTTTTTTAAATGGCAGAGGCATTGAGTTCTATATTATTTTCGTCACTTTTATTGTTAATCTTAGTCTTTCTATGGTTCTTCAAATATTTCTGAATAAATTCTGGTGGGTAGTTATTCACTAGTAATATATTTCCTTTATTTATTTGGTTTCGTTATTTAAATCTTCTGGCCTACTAGTTAGGCTCTTGGCCCGATTATAAAGACATTTAACTAAACCTGTCTTTACGGATTTCGGATGGGGTGAACTAGAGTCTAGGTATTTATTCGAGTGTGTTGGTTTCCTATAAATGCCAGTATCTAACCCGCCGTCTTGTTTTCGTTTTATTCTATAGTCTAGCATGGCCGGCTCGCCCTGTTCCTTTTTCCCTCTACTATTGAGTTTATACGTGTTAAAAAAGCCCTGTACAAACATAGCAATTACTAGATTTTGAAATAATAACCTCATTTATAATAACCAAGATCTCAACATTATATATGCGGACAGTAGAGCTATTCGCACATTCATTATTGTGAAACGAAAAAGTTTTTACCGGGTGTCGTCATTTAAGTTATATCCAGTTACTAACTAATAATACATCGAATACAGAACAATATGACAATTGCTTTAATTAAGGGAACTGTTAGGCAACAAGCATGCAGCTGGCAGTGAGTCACAGCCATTGTGTGTGTATGTGAGAGAGAGGGGGCTAGTGATGCTACCTGGAGGCCTGCATATCTATGGCTCAGAGGTTGTTAATCATGAACACTGACTAGTGAGTCACAGCTCCACAAATACTTTAAAGAAACAATTAGAATCATGCACGGATGAAACGTTAATAATGATCATCATCGTGGTAATGATACCAGCCATAATAGCATGTGGTATTTTGATCACAAATATAATATTGAAAACAGGCTTAATTATGGGAGAAGGAAATAACATCACTTAATATGATAAAAGCTTTTCATTATATTTATTTTCCAGCATATAAATAATATCTCTTGATTTTATGTAACAAAACTTTTGTGATCTTAATCATATGATTCTGAAAGTGGTTTAGATAGATAGGGTTAGGGTAGATAGACAACAATAAGGAAAGGAAGCCTTGACAATTAATAGCAAAAATGCCAATAGCTAACAAGAAGAGAAAGGGGGAGAGTAAAAAAGATAGTAACCATGGTAGCATTCAGTAAAAAACACAATTGTTAGTGTTCAACTATGTTTGCCAAAACAGCTTTTCGTTAACTGAATTGGTACAAACTATCCCAATTATTTCAGTCAAACAGATAGTTTCCTTTTGCTGGTAATACTATTATTGTGTCATTATTTAGTGACTGAAAATTATTCTTAAATAACGCAAGAAGTAATTGCCTGTGCAATATCACCACCAAGAGTCATGAATTACTGATTCTCAGTATTAAGAAATCTGAGGCGGCCGCCGACATACACCTTGACTGTATACAACTTAGACAGTCAGTAAATGACTTAATGCACTGGTGCTATATTTGGTCTGACGACCCCTTACTCATTTTCTAATCTATTTCTACCTCACTGAAAACATTAGTTACTGAGGCAGAGACATGTATAACATATTGAAGTTACATCCAGTGATGTGGCTAGGATTTAATACTATCAGTTAACTGAACTGTCTTACTTAGCATTCTATAACTAACCGAAACACGATTGTCCATGCTACTTTATTCTGTAATAAGAGTAAATGAATGAAACATCATCATCTATGATCAGAAACCTGAAATATTTTTATGTATATTTGTCACTAAGTGTTCATGTCTCACAAAGAGGACACATTTATCCTTGTTATTTAATTGTTTCTTGTAGAAAATGATAAAGAATTACTGAATATCTAGAAAAAAAGAACAGCCATTACACACAACTTATTAGGAGACTCAATGAATGCTAATACGTAGATGAAATACAGCAAATGTCGTCGAGAAAAAAATCCGATTAATATAATGTTAAGTAGTAAACGAATATCAACAAGAAAACCATACTGATCAAAAATTCAGACACCCTTGTAACCCAAAGAGAAAAAAAAAGCAAGAGTATGCATCATTTTGTGTAACAACAAAAAACGTAGTTCAGCGAAGAGTCTCATTTCGGCGAATTCATTTTCTTAGCTGTACAATCGCAAATATATATGTGTTATTTTGTATATATGTGTATATTAAGTAAGTTTGTCAAACAAAAATACAATTGGTTATGGTTATTTTAACTAAACAGTTGTAGATCGGTAATTGGAGTTACGCAATACAAAATAAGTTGAGAAAATTAGGTGTTAGTGGAATTAGGATAGTAGCAAAGTTGATGAGTTGTCACAGACAGTTGTTAAAAGAAGTTATGTAATAATATGAATAGTTTGATGAGTGAGTTTTACTCAGGATACGCATAGGAACAAAGTAGAGAATACGAAATTACGTAAGAGTTCCAAATGAAAAGAAGAATCATAAGCAATCAAAGAACAAGCAAACAAACAAAATGAAGTCATCAAAATCAGAACAATAAAATAAAATAAAAAAGTTGTTACCATGACAGTAGAAGTGGTTGAGTAATTCTCTTTTGTATGTACAGCTCCGGTTTTCTATGTGAATGGCCAGAGCTTCAGCGATACAAAGAAGACGAAACCGTATTGCCTTTGGTAGGTTATTCTTGGCTCTGTAGATTACTTTGAAGGAGGCGTTTGTTGAGATGGAATGATCAGTATTAACCAAGTGTTCAATTATCACACTCCTTATTGCACCACTATTGCCTTTTCTCAACCATGCTGGATAGTGTTCTTGAATACTCCTGGACTGGGGGCGCGTTGAATTGCTTAATTGCTTATAATTCTTCTTTTTATTTGGAACTCTTACGTAATTTCGTATTCTCTACTTTGTTCCTATGCGTATCCTGAGTAAAACCCACTCATCAAACTATTCATATTATTACATAACTTCTTTTAACAACTGTCTGTGACAACTCATCAACTTTGCTACTATCCTAATTCCACTAACACCTAATTTTCTCAACTTATTTTGTATTGCGTAACTCCAATTACCGATCTACAACTGTTTAGTTAAAATAACCATAACCAATTGTATTTTTGTTTGACAAACTTACTTAATGTACGCATGCATACAAAATAACTCATCTATATTTGCGATTGTACAGCTAAGAAAATGAATTCGCCGAAAAGATACTCTTCACTGAACTACGTATTTTGTTTTGACTTTGGGTAACCAATGATTTATACACCCTATTCTTATCATCTAAATGAGACACGCACAAAAGGAAGAAAAAAACTCATTCGAATTACATAGAAACGGCTATCTGGAGAGTAGTGGTAATGCGCAATCGCATACCAAGTTTGGTGCTCACAGTCAAACTTACACGAAGTAATTGTTCATGAGTATGCGAAGAAGGCTGCAATGGTTTAACATTAAAACTCTGCTTAAATCAGTTCACCATCATCGAAACAGTAATGAAACACACAAGACAAGACACAAAATGATCATAATGAAACAGTTTTCTTGCGCACACTTAACTGGATATTACACGAAAAGTTTTACAGTCTGGAAAACATAAAATACAAATTAGACTGATAAACGTCTTTCAAATGGAAATAATATTACAAGATCTCCATCAAATCGCAACTTTCAATAATCACATCGACAATGAAAAGCACTACTACAAGAGGTTGCAAGAAATCAAGCGGACAAGCTATTCTTTCCCTTCAAAAATATCATCAGAATGGATTAAATATTTTCATGCACAATCCAGATATATTAAAAACATACCTTTTTAGCGAAGAATTCGCTAATTTACAATAACAGAAATTGATATAACAACATATAGCTTAAGAGACATTTACAACACCGAAAACACTACTCATACCACTATTAATAAATAATGAGATGTAAACAAAACATACCATAGTTTGAAATGTCGAATGTAAGTGAACAAGAAATGCTGGTTTACGTTGTAGGGCCAATACTCGACGTTCAATCATTGCGCACTCAACATCATCATCCTGTAGAACAACATCCTTTTTCAATATTTTCACAGCATAAAGCTCATCAGTATCTTTGCGTTCAGCTAGCATGACCTGTAACATAAGATAAAAACAGGTAATTAGTAGTCTGTGATTTGGACAGTGCAACTGTGTGAGAATGTTCATTTAGTTGCTACATATAATCAGAAGGAATGTCTAAAGCAGTGCAGTGAAGTTTATTACCATTATTTCAGTCACAATTTCAACAACAGAAGGCAAAATAAGCATTTTAACTGAAAATAATTCACAATAACAGTGAAGAAAAACGTCCCAACTCAAACTATTCCTTATATTACAACTTAAACAAGTAGCAGTATTAGTGGTAATAGCCATGATAATTATTAGGTGAAGACAACTCTGTGATCAGTGCAAAAATTCTAATTTCATGGAGGATTTCATCGTGAGCTGACGCCAGTTAGAGAACCACTGGAAAAGATGGGAGTACTGGACAGCTGTTTCGCTACCCTAGTACTCTCAGCTTTTCCAGTGGTTCTCTAACTGGCGTCAGCTCATGATGAAATCCTCCATGCAATCAAACAAAATCCCTACAAAACCAATACTTGAAAATTCTAATTTCGACTAGAATCAATCGAGTAGTGATGAAATGCACTGTAAAACAATTTAGTTTAGTTAATTTTAAGCAATTTAAGTGGGACATAGCAATGATAATGCTCTATATCATTATTACTCAAAATAGAATGCAATTTGCTTATTTACAAATTTAGGTTCAGCATATCAGATAAGGTGGTATATCATACTGATATACCATTTTAGTGCAATATACTTATGGCAGATCATGCTAGTATAATTTTGCAACTGTATGTTATCATTCATTATGATAAAGGTTTTTGTATTTCCCAATGAATGAAAAACAAAACGATATTGTTTTTACTGACGTTTCGCTATTTAATGCTAATAGCTTTATCAAAGTATTATTAAACCGAAATTTACAAAATCTCAGCATATATATTATTATTATTCCCTTGGGTTCCAAGTGGAACATAGGGCTTCAACTACACATCTCCACTTTGTTCTATTTTCTGCCATCCTCTTCATCTGGGTCCACGATTGCCAATGGTCTCTCATCTCCTCCATGTCACCCTCGCACCGAAGACCCACTCGTCGCTTCCCATCGGGTTTCCGCTCGAGCTATGGCCTGCATTGCGCGCGGTCATTCGACAGTCTCTTCAATGTATGCCCAATCCATCTCCATTTTCTCCTACATATTTCTTCAGCGATAAGTTCTCGGTTGGTTTGTTACCAGCCAGAGTTTCTTGTTACTAATTCTTTCTAGTCATTTGATCTTCAGTATGGAGCCAGCGAAGGCAGCTGCTAATTAAAATCTGTAACTTGTTGGAAATCCTTTTCGTGACACGATGGCTAAGTTTCTGACCCATATAGAAGAACTAACTGACTTAACATGTGTGTCGAAAATCCGGATCTTCTTCCTTATATTGAGTGCAGAAGATTTCAAACTGATTTCAGATTGATGAAGGCATATCTTGCCTTTCCGATTCTGCCTGGCTTTGACATCATCCGTTCAGCCGGCCTGTAGTTGAAACTGTGCTTCCTAGGCAAGTGAGGGAAGTGACCTCTGTTAAATCTCTTCCTTTGATGGTGACTGGTGCTGGTTAGTTATCTGCATCACCTCCGTAAGATATGTGCATTTAGTTCTTTTTAGCCGATTACGATATTATCAGTGCAAGTATTAACATACATTAAAAAGAGAAAATCGTAAGACTTTAAGAGAGATAAGAAAAATCCAGTCGTCAAAAGTAATAATTTTTCATTGAAGAATAAGAAAAGTGTTAAGATTTATTTGAGTCATTTAAAACCAAACACAAAACATCCTGACCAATGAAGTAGATTTTCCGGGAGGCAGAACAGAAAGATTGCATTCTAGAAAACACCTACACTGTAAATGTAAATAACGGAAATGTGTAAGATACAAAGCTATCTACTTTGTATATTCAGTTTTATACAAATTATGAAGTAACACGGAATTAATCATCACGATTTCCTTTATAAATTTGAATCAAGCAAGAACAACAATTAATGTAGAGTAAAAATGGTATCATAATTTATTCCGTCGGCTTACAGCCTAAAAATATTAAGTTTATGTACAGAAACAATTTTAACATACTTATAGAGAGAGTTCATTTTTAAACGAAATAAGATCAGTATACGCATACAGTGGTAATAATAATAATAATGATCACTTAATCCCAAACAATAATAATCATACACAATGGTATTTTCTGGCATTGTGCAATCAAATGAAAGAGGGGGGTGAAAACAGCCTGGGCAAGGAAAAACTGATAACCGCTACTTTCTGAACACATAAGTGGGATTTTGGGCGCTCGATGGAGACTGCTTCGGTAAACTTGAGGAGAATTGAACTCTTTTGCCTATTGATAATTTTGAAAGATCTTGCGACGTCCATCTGATGACCCGTATTGGTGGTAGTATGCCAGGAAATGGTACTATTGGAGGCAATTTTTCCCTAGAGACGTAGTTTTTTTGGTACTTGTTCACAAAAAAAACCGGAGGTATGGCTTTCTTTCTGTTCTCCCAAGGTAACTGCTTCCGCAATTACTTGGAAAAGAAGTTTAACATCAGTATACAATTAAATAAATTAATTCAAAGTATACAAAACGTTGGAGCAGATCAGTACTCCAGCTGATGGAGTGGTTTGAAACGCTTGATTGCGATTGCTTCAGCGGTCAAACACTGAAATATGTTACTTGTCATTATTTATAACCACTGTAACTTCAGATAGTTTGCAGCAAACGAGGACCTATAAAATAGAATGATATCATTTTATACTGCAAATCTGGTCCTTCTTTCTTTATCGAGGTTTATCAAGGGAGCCAAATGTATGTTATCTCTGTTCATTCGTTCTTGATTTTTCTCCTTTCTTTTAAAACCTCTAACTTTAAAATATTTTTTATATATACCCTAAAATCTCTTACTCTTATGAACAATATTCCCGTTTCCATGAGCTTACAGTGTGGGGGTTTGGATTAATTTCAATTGTTAGATTTCGTAAGAGATCACTGAAAACTGGGGAGCACTAGACAGCTGTTTCGTCCAAGTATGGGGCTCTTTCAGTAGTGAGCACTCTCGTGAGCCTGCCAGGCATCCCACCCAGGACCTTCAGGTTACGAGACAAAGCTCACTGACAATTCGGTCAATTAGGCAGGGATTCAATGACCCGCGAATTTGAATTTCATCAAGTTAGTCATATAGCGCCACCCTTAACCAGTTCCTTGGATAAGCATCCACTTCACTTTGATATGGTGGATGCCTCTCGCGACAACGTTTCACTACAGCTTCCGAACATCCATCTAGTAGCCACTAATGAGCTGTAGGTTGGTATTTGGGTTATGCGATTGAAACGATGACCAGTTCTGAGCGATATTCATAAACTAATATATTTATAGATTAACGAATTTATTCATTATTTTTCTTCATACGTAATTTCACATGTTTTGCTGCCTACTTATATTAATGACTGATCTTAATGACTGTTTTCATGAATTTTCAAAACAACGCATAACTGTGTAGCTTTGAAGTAAAGTAACAAAAAGAATATTCTTTGTTGACTCTTCTTTTCAATTTATATCATATAGGGGATTTTTGAAACTGTAGCAAAAGTGTTGTATCTTATGTTACTCAGTTAGTGGCCATGTATGTACACAGTAAGTGTGAAATTATACTTCACTGACCTAAGTACTCAGTATTTAACCAATCGAACATATGTCTGTGTCTCAGTACACTTGCTTAAGTTTGTGCAGGCATCATCAACTCTCCAGCAGTACATATAGCTTAAATCTAAGCACACAAAAGTATACATGATTACCGAGTTTAATACAGTTGACATAATAACGAATAGATTAAAAGGCATTTGTAGTGTGACCTGATGTCGTTTTTATTTGTATGTACAATACAGAGTAAATGCAAATATAAATAAAATGACTAGAAGAATTTCTACTATGAGAATATGTCGACATGCATCTAAATATTGTCATAGGAAGTGTCAAACAGAGTGTCCCAAGAGCACACTCTAAGCATAGATCACTTGAATAACGTGAACCAACATTTACAGATAATCTTATATAATAATAATAATAACATATCATTAAGCTTTTAGGAATGAAAACCACCTGGTTTCGTGAAACCTAACTAACACGTAAACGAATAAAAAAAAGGCATGATGTGTTTCACACGAATACGCGTTAGTGGTTCAGTGGGATTGTGTTTTTTAATTAAAAAAATAATCGTGCACTTTAGTAATCTTCATATTCATTGCAAATTTATGTATAATTTTCCATTTCCATCTATAGCACAATTATAATTTATTTAGGGTTAATGAGATGTCATTTTTCGTTATTGTTATTATTATTAACCTTAATATTTCTGCAATCATTTCATCCACTTGTGAAAAAAGAGTTCTTGCAAATCTTCATTTTAAGTGTGATGCAGCAATAATCATTTTCCAAGTATTTATCACTACAGATTGTGGATGGTAATGAATTAGTGAATTAGTAGTTGCGAAACTATATGATCGATTGGATTCAGGCATAGTGAATAAATAACTTCTTGTTCACTACAAGATTTAATAGCCCTGGAACTCTGCTGCTATGCAAAAGATACTGAGTGGTACATCTCTCAAGAGGCTTAAACTAGAACAAGACAAGTGTACAAAAAAAGTTATTTTCGATAGTTTTCGGATTGATAATTGTAAAGAAAAAGAGAAAACATCTTGGTCTTTTAACTTTGAAAAAAAAGAAAGACTCTTCTAATCAATCATCCAGAAATAGACATTCTTTAATTTCTGAAGATAACGATATAACGACACAGTAACTATGTGTAATTTCGAAGTATATTTTATCCGAAATAAAATTTTTCTTTTTTTTCCTTAACGTCCCCCAGTGGAACATAGGGTTTCAAGCTTGTGGCTTGAGGTTTCTGTAGCAGTGATCATTTTACAGGATGGGGTTGCTAGCCTCATGCCCAACCTTCCCTCTTCACCAGCATTATTTCTGGCTTAGCAAGGTAAGGGAGGAGTGCGTCGGCCGGGGACCGAACCCCGGACCATGTGCATGGTCGGCGAGCGTCCTAACCGCTATGCCACCGACGCGTTCCCGAAATAAAATGAATGATGATATTAGAATTTGTTATGAAACACACAATTATTCTTTACTTGATTGCCTATAGAACTCTAAAGCAAATAGGTGAGAGTATTAGGCTTTTAATCAGTGAACAGTGGTCAGTTCACAACAGCTATGATGCATTACTGAGTGAATGGACATAAAGGTGATTACCTAGTCATACAGAACACCATATAGAATGCAGTATGTACGCCACTTTATGTAAGTCAATTAGTTATCAGATGATTGTAAATTATGAATAGAATAGAATACGTATGACAGTTCTGTTACTTCATTACTACACTGAATAAGTGAATACAATTCATGGGGGAAAAAAGTGTGAAATTCGACTCCCCGCACACCAGCAACGTGAGTAATACAGTGCCTACGGCAGTCATCATTTGTAGAAGAACGATGAGTATAAACACTTGGGATTATTTTCTTTATATATCCATACATTGTTAAAGCCTGACAAAGTATAAATCACAACACCTGCCCACTATTCAATGCTTTTTTCAACAGTCTTTTAGATGCTGCATCGTTCTACTATTTTCATGCATTTGCTTTCTGAGTAGAACAAAGGGCTACAAACTTTGGCGTTTCAGTATAGATGGTATTGTGTTTTTTCGGAGCGCCTTTTTCAACCAGTAAGCGATAAGTGGTCTAGGAGTGTCGGGAATCGATAGTATAGTGACGAATTTCTACACCTGTCACATCATTCCATAAGGAATACCTAATGTCTGAGTGAACAAGAAAGTGAAACTATCACACACCTATTGTAAGTAAGTTTAATGGAGATTCATAAAATGCAAACACGAAATGATTTCGTTCATCAACTTAGGTACTTGCCTTCCAAGTGATCAGTCCCAAGATCTAATATTACTCTAATATGTTTGGCATGCGATTCGCCCCTGTAAACTATAAGATGCTGCTACAGAACTGGACTACGTCAACTCCTAGCTTAGTGATAGGAAGTGAAGTGATAGAACATTTTGACCACTTCACCTATTTAGGAAGTTGTATCAGCACCAACGGACTGATTGGCGACGAAATATCAGCACGGATCCAAAAAGCTCGAGCTGCTTTCGCTAACTTACGCCAACTCTGGCGTAGGCATGACATCCGGCTATCAACCAAGGAACGTGTGTACTGCTCAGCAGTTCGCTCCGTCCTTCTCTATGACTCTGAAACATGGCCAATACGAGTTGAAGACATGAAAAGGTTGACTGTTTTTGATCATAGATGTCTACGATCTCTTTCTCACGTTAGGTGGCATAATAAAGTAAGTAATATCGACGTTAGGCGTAGAGTGTTGGGCAAAGAGGGAAAATCAATCGAAGAGGCTATAAAGTTACATAGATTGAGATGGCTAGGTCACGTGCTGCGCATGCCTAACCATCGCCTCCCCCGACGCGCATTACTAGCTGATATAGGTGCACGTTGGAAAAGAGTAGGTAGTGGCCAAACAAAAACATGGCATCAATCCATGAAATCCCTGACAGTTAAACTGAGTCAGGTAGGGAGATGTAGACTTCCGGGCTGAGGCCCTCGGGACTCTAAGAATCAATGGCTGGAGACAATAGGTGACATGGCTCAAAATCGTTGTCAATGGCGCAGATGTATTCAGTCTCTTTAACCTTCATATTCCTTTCTACTATTACTCATTCTGTTTCACTCTTATACTTGTCAAAAGTCTATTGATTCTCTTCACCCATCTTCTTGTCTACCTTTGTGTGCTCTTTGTACGTGGCAACTCGAACTGCTGCACTTCGGTGCCAAGTTCTATGTTGAACCCTGACAGATTACTCTAATATAGCCTTACCGAACTGCTACACATAGGCCCAAATACGATGTGATGCAATACGACAAACAACTTAACTATTAAATTTCTAACAGGTTGCTAGTTTGCGTTATTTACAGGATTATAAAAGATAACATTGAAAGATTACCTTGCCAAAGCTTCCTTTACCCAAAACTTTAATAAATTTGAAGTCTGTTGCTCTGACCACATCGCGTAATTTAGTTGGACCATTTTGCATGTTTTCATCTTCTTCATAAATATTCGATTTGAATGGGGTCTAAATTAATACAAACAAATTTTTTAAATTAAATAATGCTGCGTTCCAAATAAGCAACAACAAAAAAATTCAAACAAAAACAATTATTAAAATATGACTGAATGCCACATCATAGATTGATTTCATTTAACAAAATCATACACCAGTGGTTCAGTACTGTTTTGTTTTTGCTGATAACATTCCGAGCAGAATTTATTGCTCATAATCACATCAAGGTTTTTATATAACCTTCATATTACGTTTACACAGTTCCATGATCTAATGTCCTTTGATTATATTGGTTATATCATCCGTATCTCAGGTATTGGTGCTAAGTCATTCCGAATTCAAGTGTTCAGTGTATATACTCAATGAACAAAGATTCAAAGTTGCAGATACGCCTTGCTGACGAGTGCCAACTAGCACGAAACCTAGGTCCAAGGCTTCCTGTGGCCGATTGCCTCCAACTATCCAATATGAACAAAGATTCAGCTCATTGAATCTACACCAAGCACTTACAATAGGAATAAGGCAGCACCAACACCAGAGATAGGAATTACATTATTACAACTAAAATCGAAGCAAAGGAATATAGTGGAATTGTATAAATAAAGTGTGAAATATATATGTAAATGCTTCGATATGATTATTAGTTATAGATCCTACTCGAAATGTCATCAGTAAGAGAGAAATAATAATACTACACATCACTATGTATTCTTGTCCAGTAAAATCATTCTATAATGGAATTATAATCTACCACAGTACAAAAATGCTATTCTTATATCAGTGATTGAAGGCTGTATCATTAAACAACACCAACTCGGAGAAAATTGATAACCTAGAAAGGTAACACACACACACACACAAACTTCGTAATTCACTTAACTGCTAACCACCTTTATATGGCTGAAAAATCTATAAAAGTCCTTGATGAGTAATAACTCCTGTCGGATAAATTAGTTTTGAAAACCAAGAGATGTTAGACAAGTGTTTCGCCATAGCAACGTGATCCTTCATCACTGGAGGGCATATAGGACAGTACCACGGATTTAACTTAAGACGAGCAGTAAGCAAGAGACCAACACGATACAATTTCGCTCCTTCCTGAGTTGATATCTAGTAGCCTAGAATTGCCAACAACAAATAACTACATCAGTATGAGGAGTGCTAAAGAATCTGAAAAAAACTGTTCTCAAGTTAACAAACAGTTTGCCGGTTCGATGTTTAAATCGATAGATTATATCTGTCACGTGCTCAGAAAATGTGTTTGACTAATAACCGGTTTCCTGCATAAGAGAGGTAATATCGAATGAAATAGTTATAGTAATAGTGAAAGTAATAAGAACACTACATACATTGCGATAGAAGATTATTTAATCTAATAAAACAATTTTAATTTAACTTTCATTTTAAGGAACAATAAACTCTGTAAAGAGAAAAATGGAGTGAAAAAAAAATTGAAGTTGACAAACATTTTCAGTCCCAAAAAATTACTAATTTTCTACATAATTTTATGCTTTCCTCAAAGAAATAATGAAATTCATCAAGGCAGTGAATACATAAACTTTGTAGATCAAAAAACTCCCAACTAGATTATGAGGTCGAATGCATACGGTCAAGTGTCTGCCTGAATTTATAATTAATGAGCACAATTAACAGAATGTTTGACCATGCATGACCATGAACTTATCCATGGACGTACAATACACAGCGAAATATATACGTTGACTGTCATAGAATGAAATCTTTAAGTGAATGAACATATCACTAACTGAATCGCTTATATTTATAAACTGTAGCCACACCAAATACAATGGATAGGTATATTACTTAATATCAGTTTTAAACAAACAGACAAAGTGAATCGAATCACGTAAGCGGGAAGGGATTACTCCAACTTATAGACAATAACACGAACAAAAAAGAGCTTAACAAAATCAAAATGATATTAAACTGATCAAATGCTAAAATAACTTAAAAATTATTAGATGGTGTGTTTAATGAAAATTTTAAAGATATTAGGGCGTAATTACATTTTTATATAATTGTGATCAATCAATTAATTGCTGATGTCTCACAAGCTCTAGAGGCAGGCAAACTGAACTGGTTGTTTTTAGTGTTTAAACCAACAGTCAGAGAATAACAGTTGCTCTCCAATAAGTAGTCAAAATGCCAGAAATGACAATGACAATTGAAAACACACATACTAAATACATATGCGTCGGTGGCACAGGGGTAGAATGCTCACCAACCACGCCTAATGTGGTTCGGCGTTCGATCCACAGCCGATGCACTCCTTTACCTTGCTAAACCAGTAATAAGACTGGTAAAGAGGGAAGGTTGGGCATGAGGCTGGCTAGCAAGCCAATCCCGTAAAAATAAACACAGCTGCTACCGAAACTTCAGAGTTTTCCAGCTTTAAGCCCTATGTTCCACTGGGGACATAAAGGATACAAAAATACCAAATATAATCAAAGGCTTTTATTCGAGATAATGAGAAAAGAAGTTGGATTTTATCAGCTTCACAGGGAACAAAAAGTGACTATGTATTATGTGCACATAATTATTCAAGTTATCTTCAGTTATCACCATGGTCATAAACAAAGAGAAAATGATGAAAAATGATAGGTTTAAAATTTCTTTAACTATCTCTCTCAATGTGATTATGAAGAGCAAGTTGTATGCGGCAAACATTCTCATGCAGTAAATAACATTGTATATCACTATATATTAATGAAATGGAAGCGTGCTCTACGTCAGTATCCAATATCTACGCTTGATAATTGAAGTCAGTGTGGAAGTAAACAATACTATTTCAGCGGAAAACATACAAAAGATAACATTGCAATATATATATATATATATATATATATATTATCCATTTTAAAATGGACTGTTGATAAAAAGATAGACCTAACATCTAAAGGTAACAATTTTCAACTTTTATTTTACTTTTTCCTTGTTATGTTTAATTCGCTCAATAAAAAAACCTACACAGTGGTATAAAATGCTTAGAATAGTGAATTAGAAAGAAAAAGAAAATGAACTATTTCATAATTTTTGACTGAATATATTTTAAGGGAAATGGAGTAAACTAAGATAAATAACAAACATGAGTTTATGAGGTCAGTATATATATATATATATATATATATATATATATATATATTAAAGTATAATTCGTATAGTTCACCTGAAGAACTCATTGAAAACAGATTGCTCAACTTGATTATCACTGTTAATAACTTGATTTCCTTTCAACTTCCTCAGTAAACATGATTTATTAAAGTATGCCAATTTGAGAATCACGCTCTACTGTATATTCTGTAATAAATTCAGACTAGCATATTTTCCTCTTTATTACCAACTACTTTGATAATATGAAAGATTAACCGGATTAACTGGATTATCAGCTAACTTCAACTCTCCCTCTCTCTGGACACCATTGAGACATTTCATTTTTCAATAAACCACTTAATCCACGAATGAAGATATTATACGCAGGCAGATATTACCACCGGTTGTCATGAAATAACTTCAGTTCAATAACTAGTGTACATTGCGTTATACAATATTACTGCGAACTATGATACTTAATAGTGCGTCGGTGGCATAGCGGTTAGGACGCTCGCCGACCATGCACATGGTCCGGGGTTCGATCCCCGACCGACGCACTCCTTTACCTCGCTAAGCCAAAAACAATGCTAGTGAAGAGGAAAGGTTGGGAGTGAGGTTAGCAACCCCATCCTGTAAAATAAACACCGCTACAGAAACTTCAAGCCACTAGCTTGAAGCCCTATGTTCCACTGGTGAACGTGAAGGAAAAAAAAATGTGATATAAGAATGTTTTGTTTTTCATTGTGTATCTCCATCTTGTCAGTCATGTATCACAAGATGTAGGTCGTAAAAATAAGGAGAAAAACAGGTATTTGGAGACAGCAAGTTAATCGACAAGTTAGTGAAATTACATCCCTGGGAATGACAAAGATATACATGATCTCCGGAAGCTATCAGTAGGGTTAGTGGTGGTATGCCTTTAAAAGTCAACTCGTTGATATCATCGTTGAGAGATATATTCAAACTCTGAGCATTGTATTTGTCGACAACTTTCAGCTTGTAGCTGCTTAAGTGGAACATAAAACAATTTCAAAAAAACTTAACGCTTGTATGAGTAAATATAGACAACCGAACGATACCTTATTTGGAACACATTCTCTGTAGGGAAAGAAGCTTTAATCATGAAGTTAATAACCAACAGTGAGATAAGCGGCTGTTTTTATTCTTGTTACCATTAATGTATTGCCATCTTCATTGTTATCATGTCTATTATTTATTTATTTATTAACTCCGTTTAGTGTAAACATCAAAAAGCTCATTTCCTCCTAACTATGCAATGTGTGAGGAGAACATTGCATGCTGAAAATTCCGTATTGTAGTGAAAATGTGTAGGCGCTGAAGCGATTATTCCTAACATTACTATTATATTACGCAGTCTTAGCACCCAAAAAGGAAAATAATAATAAGTATGATTGAAGTAAAAAAATATATATATGTCATTCATTTACAAAAGTCTAGTTTACTCATCTGCGTCATATATTACAGAATTGAATGCTATCTCACTTTTCTTGTCTGCAGTTCTATAAACTTCGAATTATTACAGCTTAAATATATATCACTGTAATGAAGCGCATTTTAGCCTTTATAGTCTTCAGAATTCTAACAGTCATCTGTCTGTCTGTTTTCGACATAGAACTTTGCACATATGTGCGGCAGTTCAAGTCGCCACACTCCATGTAACACACAAAGCGAGAAAAGAAAGTAGGAGAAATGCATAATAAAGACAGTAAACAGAGGTGTGAGACAAAGGTATAGTAATAACGAAGAACAAAACAGTTTAATTGGAAATCATAAGTCACAAGGAGTGGATGCATCTGCACAAGCCATTGAGAACGATTTTGAGCCATGTCATTAATTGTTTCCAACCATTGGTTTTTACCGTCCCGAGGACCTCAACCAGT